GGGGGGAACTGGAAAGAGATGAAATTGAGAAAAATTACCATAGGGAAGGAAGATGATAGATCACTTTGTGAGGACATAAATAGCATAGACAATACCAGGTAGCCATCCAAAGAGAGTCAGCAAAACACAAATCCAGAATTCCGCCTGTTTTCAGAAATATATTAATAACACTAACAAAGAACTACAAAATTTTCAGACCATAGGAAATCTGCACCTTCTTTATACAATTTTCCATTTTTTTTATGAACAAAACTTGTACTACTACTATTTTTTCACTTATATTTGCATCCTAAACTCACAAAGTTAAATCTTTACCTCACCTACCCTAATACCCCTTACCCCCTGCCATCCTTAAACCTAAAAAGGACAAAAGAAAAAAGGAGAAAAAGATAGTCCATTGTTTTCTTTCTATAATTCTATGCCTCTACAAGGGATGGTAGAGAAGGGGAATGATGCCATGTTTTTACAGGCAATACTCAGAAATTTGTGTCTAGTAAGTTAACCAGAAGAAAGAGTTTTATTCCGTGGGCTTTTGAATTTGTATTAATTGGACTAGTGAATTTGAATACTGAATTTCCATAGCAAAAAAAAAAAAAAAGAAGTAGTAGTAGTATTAAGTTAACAGGAGGAGAATGAAGGGAGTGAGTACCTGGCAGCCAAACTTGAGGAAAACACCAAGGGGAGGCAATATGATTGCCAACAGAATGTCTATGAATGTCAGTGTGCTGGTTCTCATTTTTCCCTTCTTTCTAAACAACTTCTGATAAAATGCTAATTAAACACCAGATTTATGTGTGTCACATTTACTTTAAAAACAGGAGGAAGTGGCTATCCTATATATATAGGGCGAGAAGAGTATAGTAGTGTGCTTCTCTATTTGACTTTGAGGGCTAATTTAGTACTTTCACCCGGAGCCTTCGAATTTCCTTAACGCGTTTGCTTCATCAATTGCTTTCCCCGCTTTGCCTTTTTAACTTTGATAAAAACTTTTCTGCTCGTACGAATAGAATTTGCACAGATGTTCCTCAGTTAGTGTGGCCACGTTGCGGGTGAGCTGTAAACATGGCCCCCTTCCGTGGAGTGTTTTCCACCCTCTCCACATGCATTTCATGTCGACCACTAGGATTCTCTGTTTCATCCCACTTGACTCTTGATCTTGAGAGAAGGGGTAAAAGCCCTTGATTTCTTTTGTATTTTGGTATTACGGTGTCTGTGTGTGATGCTGTTAGTTTAAAACTTAACGGTAGGTATACTAGGTAGCCAGGGGCGGAGCCAGCCTTTGGCTGCGGTTTCGGCCGAACCGAATAGCTATAGTACAAACTTTATCTTCCTCCTTTTTAATTTATGTGAACCCATTTAACTGAGCATAAAGTTTAAAAAAAGAAAGAAAATTTTTAAACTTGCGGTGTAAAATAAAGTACATATATTCTGTGTAGCTATAAAGCATTGCATAAAGGTAAATTGTTTTCAAATAGGGAAATGAGTCATTCTTTTTGGCACGGATTAAAAAGAAAATATGTTCACATAAATTGAAATGCAGGAAGTATTTATCTTAAAAAATTAATTGAATATAGATAAATTATTAAGTTAAAACCAAGTTACTTAAAAGAACTAGAATTCTGAACTTATAAATTTCAAATCTTAACTTCACCTCGGTTGCATATTTGTGTCGGCCTTGGAAGCAGGTGCAGATATTCTATGAGCCACATGAAATTTGAAACACAAGTACTAATTGACTCCTTGCCACATTATTGTGCCTTGTGACTGTCTTTTGGCCATACCCATAATTAGGCAAATGCAGCATGGACCATGTCATGGCTGGCATAAGCAGGGCCGGCTCCATAGTAATGAGGGATAAGGCTTGTGCCTTAGGTCTCCAAATTTGGGGCACCATTTTTGGAAAATAATAAGTTTATAAATATTTAAAAATAATATTTAGTACTTTTCATACAATAATAGAGTTTTAAATATAAAAGGAAAGAAAACCTTTTAGATATATAAAATGAGGTAATAATTTGACTTACTTAAAAATGGGTAGATAAATAGTTTTTTCAATGTTTCAGTTTTCCACTTTTTATTCCTTTATTAAAAATTTTGCTCTCTTCCTTAATTTGTCCAAGTCAATCTTTCTTTTTTCTAATCTCTTCATATCTCAGAAAATTCAATATATTTTCTGTCTCTCTTTGATATTCTTACTCACTTTCTTTCTCCAAAATTTCAGTACTCATATTTTTTCTCAAAGATTTCATTAGTTCAAGTGTTCAACAATACTTTTAAGTTTTCAATAGTTCTATACTTCTATTGCTCTGTAAAATCTTACCTAAGATCAACATTATCTCAAGAAAGATTAAATGAGTTGGTTATATTATCAATTGAACATGAACTATTAGAGAAAATCGATTATAAAAAGAATTATTAACAATTTTGTATCTTAAAAAGTTAGAAGAATAGACTTCAAATAAAAAACATATCTCATAATTTTTTAAAAAAAATTTAGGCCTCATATTAAACTATAGCTTTAGGCCCCGTATGTGCTTGAACCGCCCCTGGGCATAAGGACAATATTTTGTTTGTTATATGATCTCAATTGTATTATCTTTGTGAACTGAAAATATCTCGACGTGTTTGGGGATATGATTTCTGAAATTTAAGGGTCGTTTGGTAGGAGGTATTAGAAAAAATAATACAAGTATTTGCTCTATTCATTACTAATACTTTATTGGTACATTTTTCCAATATGTGTATAACTAATACTTGTATTAGTTATACATCATACTTGGTATTATCCTATGTATAAGTAATGCATAGAAAACCATAGTATTAGTAATACCAAGGCTATTAATGCATGCATTAGTATGATTAAAGACAAAATTGTCCTTATAGTCCCTTAAAGCTAGAGAATATGGAGGGTATCTTCGTAAACAACTATTTTTCTTAAAATTATGCAATGCATTATAATTTTAATACACCACATCAAACAGTAAATAAGAAATAATATCTGCATAACTAATGCTTGCATTACTAACTCATCCATTACTAATACATCTTATTCCGTACTATTCTTATACTTCTGCCAATCAACCCCTTACTGTTTCTTCTTTCCATGTTATTCCTTTGTTAAATCTGTCCGAAACATTCCATTCATCTTCCCTGTGGTTTGAAAATCTCCCTTGGGATTACGGACATTTCATTGATTTGCATGCACAATGCATTCTTCTGACACTTTTTTTAACCTGTGTGATATATAGTGATGTTGATCTAGTGGGGTGAGAGGTTTTGTCACTTCAGACAACGGGATTTAATTGTTTTTGTATTTCAAATAGGAGGCTTTTGCAGGTTTTGGGGTTATAATTGAAGTTATACTCATTTTGCAAAAAAAATTGCAAACCTACCCACTTTACGATCAACTTCAGACTTATCGGGTCTGAAGTTAAAAAAAATTAGTCTGAAGTGCAATGCACTTAAGGCCAATTAAGTCTAAAGTAAGATGAACTTAAGGCCAAATAGGTCTGAAATGCAATAAATATTTTCATGCACTTAATGTCAGAGAGGTCTGAAGTAAAAAAATTGCACTTCAGGTGCACTTAAGGCCAAATAGGTCTGAAGTGTAACCAATAGTTTCATGCAGTTAAGGCAAAAATGTCTGAAGTGAAAATTACACTTCAGATGTACTTAAAGCCAAATAGATCTGAAGTGCAACCAATAGTTTCATGCACTTGGCCAAAAAGTCTGAAGTGAAAAAATTGCAATTCAGATGCACTTAACGCCAAATAGGTTTGAAGTGCAACCAATGTTTCATGCACTTAAGGCCAATAAGTCTGAAGTGAAAAAATTGCACTTCAGATGCACTTAAGGCCAAATAGATTTGAAGTGCAACCAACGTTTTCATGCACTTAAGGCAAATAGGCCTGAAGTGCAAATTGCTCAGAAATAGAAATTTGTTCTTCGAATTTTAACAATTTATTATATACGATTTAACACCTAACTCTTCTCCGAATGAGCTCAAATTTAAAACATAACCTCCAAATATCATTAAGAACAAACCCCAATCATCAATTGCCGAAACAATAATAAATCTAACGAACTCATTTCGCAATTAATAAAAAGAAACCCTAAGCAATAGTAAAAAATAAAGCGCCACAACAGATCACTACGACAAAACAACATAAACTACCTTAAAATATATTCACAAACATCATATAAAATCACTATCACCCGAAGAAGAAGAAAAAGAACAAAGAGGAGAAAAGGCCTGAAGTTGTTTAAACTTTAGTACTTGTTAAAAAAATTAAAAAGTAAATAAAAATTAAATGGGGACGGTCTAAATAGAGCGTCTCGTACGATTTTTACCATTATAATGTACTAATCCTTTTGCTACTTTTCTCCTGGGTTGATCCGGTGTTAAGACTATGAAAGAAGCAAAAAAATGTGAGAATCCAAAGCATAGTTATTTATGGATGAATGGGATAGTAGGAATTGATATTTTGGTCTTAAATGACTCCGACAAAGAAAAAGAGAAATGTGGAAAGTAAAGCTTCCACAAGGGATCAAACACTACTAAATTTGCCGACTTGGGTGCCTGATTTGGCTCTTGTATTGCAAACGTAAGGATTTAGCCATAGTCATGGGTTTATTATTATTATTATTATTATCTTGAAAAAAAGCACCACTACTGTCACTTACTGCTTTGATGATGATTGTGACTATACTTTGTCTCCATTCCCGCATTTTTTTCTTAGTAAAAAAAATAGGGATGGCACACGAGCGGGTCCGATCAGATATATGGGCAGATCGAAAACGGATAATGCGAAAATGGATAAATTATCCGACTCGATCCATATTTAATGTTGTTTAACCAAAAATAGAATTCGGTCAAAGCTTTATTTTTAGAAGAACTCGGGTTACTGATAATCGAAAATGAACAGAAGAAATTGATTTTGATAACAATAAGATAGATAACAGAAAACAAAGTAAATCAGTATATTTAGTTGATATTTCGTGTCCTTACAAATGACCAGTCTTCTCCTTTTTATAGCTATATCTAAGATATACGTTTTGCCTTTGTCATAATAAGGTCATTATAGACAATTAAAGGCATTAAATGCTACGTTACATAATCATTGTAATTTAATACAGATTCTCTAACGTTTTCAGTATTTAATGCTTATTAAATACTGTATCTGTACTCTCTTGTGCTGTCAGATTCATTCTTCTTAACTTTTAGATTTAAATAGGTACGAGGGTCGAGTCTTTATCTGCTCGTGCCTCTGCTTGTGCCTCTGCTCGTATCTGTTGCAACTCGTGCCTCCTTGCCTGCCATCATTCTTTGACCAGCCTTCGTGTCATGACACGTCATCTTTCAATCACTTCAATATGTAAACTCAATTTTTCCCAATACAGATAGTCCCCCACTTGCCATATATTCATCAATTGAATATTTGGGAAGTGGATTTTATTAAAGCAGGAATATTTGCCGCCATTAATGCTAAGATAGAATCGACGCTTCAATTGTCACTTCCATTTAATGCTTATTACACGTGGCACCCTTTTATTGGCTCTGCGACTTTGCAGCGCTTTTTAAGGCTTTTTTACGGCTTCACTAATCACGAAGCGACAGTTCTCATTATGACCTTTCCATCATTGCACCTTTTCCTTTGAGGATTGCTTCTTAGTATAAATATAGTTCTCATCTTTGTCTTTGTCACATAAAGTCCAAAGCTTTCAGAATATTCAATTCTTGTTCTTCACCTTCCTCGTACTGCCATGTCTTCATCAAACCCTAACCCTAGGAGAGTCTCCATAGTTGATAACTTTCCTCTTACCCCTAATA